ATATGCAATCTAAGAATGTAGAAACATTGATAAAATATATAATTATAGGCCAGGCTTATTATGCAACACTTAATTTTATACAGTGAGGTTATCTCTATTACAACAAAGGGGATTTGATCTGAAACAGGTACAGACACCTCTCTCTCTCTCTCTCTCTCTCTCTCTCTCTCTCTCTCTCTCTCTCTCTCTATATATATATATATATATATATATACAACTGTTACAAATTTCTACAACTGTTATATATATAGCCTACTGATATCCAACTCCAATCTGAGAACACACCCATCACTTATTTAAATGCATCACTCCCAATACAAATTTCAACAACTGTTTGATTAATTGAAGGGATTGCTTGAAGGTCAAATAATCAAATTATTTTTATCCTGTATTGTAAAAATGTCTCATAATGTGATAATGGCCCCCGAAAAAGCCCTGTGTGAGCATTTTCACAACCCCCAGACAAGGTGGGGCTGGTCTCCTCATGTCTGCAGTAGGCTACTCCAGTCTAAACCTCCTCGCCTAACCGGCTTTCCCCGCGCTCACCCCGCCTCTCTTGCTTTTAATCCGCGAATAATGTATCCGCTGATCATTCTAACTTAGTGCTGCTATTAATCTTTATCAGGAATACACAAGAATACACAATATGCGGAGACGTCCAGGTTCAAGACACAGACATACACGCTCACGCGCAGCCACGCCTCCCATCTACTATCACATCACGACTGTAATAAAATTGGCTGCAGTTGTAGCTTGTCGCACGTGCCATTGGCATTCTGATGCCACCTTCACGCGCTGTTTATGCAGACTTTACGTGAGACGAATATTTCTGGAGACACTCGCCGGTACAAGAGACCAGGTTACTCGTCACCAAAGTCTATGAATGGCAAAAAATTGAAAAAAAGAAAGAAAAATGCATCGTGAGAAAAAAGACAAATGCATCGTGTAGGCTATGCTTTTAAATAATGACAATTGATGGAATATCTCATAAATCACTCGTTAACGGCTCGTTTCCTCCGTAGCGAACTCTAAAACTCTCGCGCGCACTCTGACTCTACCTGAAGAAGACGCTCCTCTAGACGCGTCACTTGTATACGCTCAAATGACCACAAACCCGCTGCCTTTACACCTTACTCTTTTTACACTGTTTAGGGATTCTGCCGGGTTTTCTGTAGGAAATATCGACGGTGTAAGCACAAGTCAACCATGACATATTTTTTGTTTTAAAAAGAACGAACAGTCGCAATAGCGCACAGAATACACGGCTTATTTTTCTGACAACTGTTTTAATGGACAAGCTTTTTGTCTTGAGAAATACTACAACGTATGGATTAGGTAGTAAACGAAAACAATACTTATAGACTATATTGACAAACACGGTAGCCTAATAGGTGGTAGGTTGGTCAATTCCTCTGTGGGAGATCGTATTGCCTTAGATGTTTGTAATTATATTTCCACACACACAAGTCAATACCAATTGAGGTCGAATTTCGTCACAATTTGTATGAGTTAAACATCCGACTTCAATGTACAGAGAACAAATGGTGCAAAATAGACTGACTTACATAAATGGCGTGAAGTCGAATTGCAGAGGACAAGTAGTAAAATCAGACAACAACAAATCCACGCCGGTCTGCTGACGATGACATTGCCCTCTTCATAGAGGAAAGACGGAGGTGACAGTAATTTCCAGACGTGTCATAAAAGATTAGATGGAAAAAAATATATATATTCGGGGAGATCGAGCATCAGTGCGCTGACGGCTGGGCTGGCTGCTTTTTGTAAACAACATCCTCATCCCCATTCACCCTCCGCGCGGAGCGCGATGAGAAAGCGTTTCGCTATCCATGGTGCAGTTCACTGCGACGTTAGAGGAAAAAAACAAAAACAAAAAAAACATCCTTTTAAAGCAGGCCCATAGAACCATTCACAAATGCAGTCTGGTAGTGCCTGCTCACTGTAACCCCGAGACGACTTCAAGGTAATGAATGCAGATAAACAGATATGTCGGCGGTGGCGGCGCACTTCGCGCTGATATTAATATTCCTGTTTTAGAGCTCGTCGGTGAACGGAGAAGCAGATGCCTAGCTACTGACTCCGTTCTGATGCGCGCCCCGCTCTCCAAAAATGACGTTGTATCATGCTGCTGTTTTTGCGAAGGGTCGACATTCTGCCCCCTCCATAATAATAGAAATTCCACCGACTGTTGTTATGCCGTTGTTACGTTGATGCCTGCCCTTGCCTCCACCTTTCCGACAGCTGATTCGACGAACGTAGCCTATTTACAATTTTGCCCACGTTCGCTGTGTGCAGACGTATGCAGTCTGTCAGCGTGACAAAATTTAAGTCATTGCTGAATATATTTCATTATTGTCAAAATAATATTTATTTTCACCATCCTATATGAATTTAGCACATATAAGCAGCCTACCGCAGATACTCAGGTACAGAATGTTCCCACAACTTCCACTTATGTTTTGCAAAGGTTATGCAAATGTTAGCCTAATATAAAAAGTTATTTAAATAACATTTATAAAACGTTCTTATAACATTATTAGTATTTAATATGCGTTCTCGTATTTTGGAACGTTTTTTGACCAACGTATTTTGGAACGTTTACTTGATGGGCGTTCTCATAACGTTGAGAGAAAACATTCTGACAGCATTTTCTAAAAATCCTTATAATGTTATTTGTATTTGTTTGTAATATTATCCTTTTTGTACAAATAGGCTAGTCTAAATGTTTTAAGAATGTAAAAAATAAGGTTAGGAGAATGTTCTAAATTGTAGGCTAATTTTAAATATTGTTGTAGCCTACCTATTCCAACAAGAAAACTGGACAATAATATTGTAATATTTTAGAAAAATTGCAAATCATTGTTCCCACAACGCTTTTAGAACATAAATTCGTTAGCCGGGCAATCACCTAATTCACCTGAACAGGTATACTACGTTACGGCACTTATCAATAGAATTACATAGCCATCAGAACATCCATCAACAGCAAGAGCAACATTATTATTGATGACAATCCTATTTTTCCATAAACCAAGGCATTCTCCTTTTCTCTCTCACTCCATCCCCACACTTCCATCACTTTATTAGATGCACCTCTCCTTCATGTGCTATCCATAGAGTGAGAAAACATTGTGATTTGAGAGACAAGCGATGAAGGGGAAATGTGAAAAGTAGGACTTGAAGACATGAAAACAAAAGATAAAAATAACAGTGAAGTACTCACACTTCAGGATGGCAGACAGTCATCGTGCATCACACATTTAATTAGCGTAGCTCATGCGCATATGGCATTTAGACTGCATCATCTGAACAGTGTGTTCTGACTCTTTGCTGATTTCTTGTGGAGTACCATGACCTTGTGGATGAACCTTTTTAATGTACTGTAAATGATTTAAAGATGGCCTGTTCTGGCCACTAAGAAAAAGTTAAGAAGAGAAATTGTTCAAATATCAAATTGGTGTTTTCATAATAAGCTATTTTGCTCTTAGGGAAAACTGAGGCTATTTTATTTGGTTCTGCGGCAAAATTGAAGAAATGTCCCAATTCAGAAATAAGGGTTAACAACTGAATTGCCAGATTATTTAAAACAATTATGAAGAGAAGTTAAAAAAATGTCATTCCAATTAAGATCCCATGTGAATTTATTAAGGTGTGAGATGTGAATCTTACTTTTAAGCAAGAAGTGACATTTTTGGGATGTATTCTTGACAGGAGATAGCGCGGCAGTTGCTCTATTGAAAATAAGAAGTAATCGAATAACTTTTTTAGCAAGACAGGCTGCTTATTTAGATAAACAAAGCTTGATAATATTAGCTGATGCATTAGTGCAACCACATTTTGACTATATGCAGTAACTTTCTGGTAGTGGCTCTAAGAAACGAGTTAAAAATAAATTACAGACTGCTCAGAACAGGTTGTGTAGATGCATTCTGGGGTTACATACTCATACACAACATGAAAAATAATCATTTTAGGGAATTGGGTTAATTTTAAAAGTTGTTAAAAGGGTAATTTTTATAAAAATGATGATGTGTAAAAAATAATTCAGAGAACTGTTCCTAAATTGTATGACTATCTTTTTGTGAGAGATGTTCATGGTATTTCTACAAGGGCAAGGATAAATAATATATATTTGTACCAGTTAGGGAGGAATTCGTGTTTGCACTCGAGTGCAGTTGCTTAGAATGAATTGCCAGATTATTTAAAAAAATTACATTTAGAAGAGAAGTTAAACATTTCTTTACAATTAAGACCCAATATGAATTTATTAAGGTGTGATCTTTTTCTTTTTGATTTTATTCCCACTCAAACTGTTGTCTATTTTATGCATATAGAGGACCACAATAGAAATAAGCCTGCATGTGGCTTTTTTTTGTATATTTTATGAACAATATGTCTTGAAATGTGTATGAATTTCCTTTGGCACGATTTATTAGTTTAAAATCATTGTTGAATAAATCAAATCAAATCACATCACAGTAATAGTCACAAGAATAAGCCTCACCAAGGATCAGTTGTGAAACACACTTTGCCTTTGCACATACGAAGAACCTGCACTGAAAGCATGTGCTGCTGAGTAATGAGTAAAGCTTTGTGAACACTAAGTTGTCATGTTTGGTAATCCAGATTGTTTATCATAATCAATGACTGATTTCAAACAAAAATAATAGAAATTTGCCTGAGAAACGGACGCCAGCAAGTACAGCTTGGAGCGGAGTAAGTACCGGAGGGGTTACACTCGGTCCTAATCAGGTGAGGCCCTGCGGCTCACTGATGGAACAGATGGTGAGTTGTGAAATCACAGGTCCAGATGCAAGAGTAATTCATGATAAAATATGATATATAGTAAAGTCAATAAATAATACCTGATGTTTATGTGAATAAATAAATATGATAAGATGGATAAAGACAACAGACAAGACAACACTTGTAAATTCACTTGGTTGGAGATATCTTTGTAGTGGATATGAAATGGGTCATACCTCAGATGACTCCCTGTTGTGACGTATATCCGAATGAAATGGCTTCTTGAACATGGAAAAAGTAGGGGAAGACATGATTTTGACCATTGGGAATTGATTTGATGGTTGTGATTGGCTAGCTGTGATGTCATGTGAGTGACAGGTCGATCCCTCCCTCTCGCCAGTAAACACATCAGATAAGAGATATTACTGCAATAGGAAGGGGACACATTTAGATCAATGATTACAAAAATTATGATGTGCATTGGATAAATACTTAAAATACTGCAATATTCCATAAGAAACAAGTATTGTCCATTTGATTTTGTGGTGACATTTTTGTATTTCTTACTGATTTTGTTTTTTCATGATATGTAAAAAGGCAAATCTAGCAACAATAACTAATTAGTGAACAACTTTTGAGTCAGACCCTTTTTTTTTTTGCAGAATCAGTTAAACTGACACAAAATTGGTCTAAACAATTCATTATTTCGTTAGCCAGATGTTAACCTATATCAATGTTAAGATGTAATCTAAATGTTGGTTTATATTTAAATGTTCAATGAAAAGATGAAAATTGTCTAATCCAATTATCTATATCCTAAATTCAGGGCTAAATATAGCCTACATTGCCAACCTTTGATTGACACAAGGGGTTAAGCAGAGTTAAAATACTTGACTTGCTTTATGAATAGCTATTTCCTAGTATCTCGTTAAGCATAAGCTAGATAATTTATAAGGCAGCCACCAAGGTTCTTAATGTTTCACATATGTAAATTGATACAATTGGGATTAGACAGGTTGCTTCACAAATTTTAATTCAATGTTACTTTGGGTGTCAATCTGTCTCTAAAAAAAAAAAAAAAGAGTTGTCATATTTAATTAGGCTGTTCTTTTTTTCACCCCTGAATGGAACACGACAGTAGACAAATGAAAGATATTAGATAGCCAACATGCAAGATACTGATGAAAGATATTGATAGCTACCCAAAACATTGATCTATAGGTTAATTAAATATTAACATGAACTAATACAAAAAGAGAAAAAAAATCAGGGTTGGACCCGTTACAAAAGAGAGATTACAACAAATTTCCTGTGAGCTCTTCATGAAGCAACAAATCGCAAACACTAAAGCACTATTTAGGAAGTAAGCAACATTTTTCAAATGCAGGGGAAGAGAGCGCGCTGTCAATACGCGCGCGCACACAGTCGAGTCGCTCCTCCTACAGCTGTCTGACGTGTCTCATATCGCTGCTATTTAACATAAATCTCACGACCATAGGCTACTTTTACTGTCTATGGCTATTATTCGGGCACAAGAGTAAGCGGCTGTGGCCTTTTCGTTACCTAGGTGTGACAGCAAAGAATCAAGATGCTTTCTTCATTGTTTATGAACGATTCACGTTCAAGCAAATGGTAATTAAATGGTGAGTCATACGGACGCAAGATGCATGTGGCTGGAGATAAACACTAGATAGCCAGTCCTGATACTGCCACACACATTTACAATGGCGCGATTAGAAAGCGAATCGCTATCTGTTTGACCAATTGAACCGATCAAAGTGCAAAAAAGACAAACGCGAGGCTTCAGTCAGAGAATGTGAGGAAGAGGAATCGTTTGCTACAGGGATCACTATTGACCACTTAATGGGCACAGATAACGGTAGGTTCACGCAAATGTCAGTACTGTAAAAATGATTTGAAAATGATTTAAAACGCAGCTTTCAAAGTTTATACGTTTCTGGTTAAATATTAGGCCCAAATGTTTTTATGATCAATTTGCTTGTCTGTTATAACACCAAATGTTGCAAGTATGCACGTAGCCTAGATGGGCTATATTTTTAGTGAATAAAATAAATCCAACCGCGTATTTTAATTGCTGAAAGGTAATAATGCGGGTCAGAATGTCCAAATTAAGAAAAATATTTGCTTGTTGTCATATTACACTGAAGTTTTCAAGTGCCACGTTTACATTCAATACAACTATTTCATGATTAATGAAAGGCATTTGGGGATAGCTGTATACATTTTATTTTTTTATACATTTATATACATTTTAAATTTTATACATTGTACATTTACATTTTATTTCCAATTTATTTGAAGTAGTACAATCTGCTTTGTGATGCTGATAAGCACCATAAAAGACAGGTTGTAAAATAGAAAGCCACATGATGAATTAAAGTTCATTAAGATTGGTATTGTTTATTAACAATTACCTAATTAACTGCAGCCCATAGGCAATGTATAGTACATTACCCACAAAATACCATCAGGGTAACAGTTCAAACACAAACTTAATATAGACATAAACTAAACATAAAATGTCACAAAACAATGTATATAACTGATTAAGACGGAATTAAAAAAAATATAAAAGTGCACATGAGTCACGAGGATTTCTGGAAACATCTTTTTACAGATTTTCACAGTAATATATTGATTTTTACTAGTAAAACATTCAGTATTTATATATTATAATTTATAATGATAATTCATTCATTTAACAGTAATTTTTTTTATTCTTTAACTATAATTTCTCACTGTGTGTGATAAGGTAACTTACAGTTAAGCAATTTCCGAAGTAACATTGCTTCATTTTTTCCCTGTAAAAAAATTATGTACATCCAAAGTCTGCATCTTGAATATAAAGATAACACCTTTAGCTAAATGTCTCAATCTAAATCTAAATGTAGCACTCAAGATTTGTGATGTGCTGATATAGGAACAAAATGATGCCGAATTGATTCACAAACATCTTGTTTTTGACAAATAAAACATCAGTTGTCAGAAAACGAAGTGATGGGGTCTTCTCGAATGAGTAATGGATTTTGTGCTCTTGCACACATCCCAGGTACAACAAAAGATCTGAACTTCAAGTTGCACTTACCAACTACTGTTGTCAGAAATTAATTACTAAAGGGATAGTTGAATAAAAATGAAATTTCTTTCATCAATTACTCACCCTCATGCCGTTCCAAACCCATAAATCCTTTGTTCGTCTTTGGAACACAAATTAAGATCTTTCTGATGAAAGCCGAGAGCTTTCTGAACCAGCCATAGGCAGAAATATTCAAGGCGCAGAAATGTATTATCAGTGTAGGAGACTGACACGGCAGAGAAGAAATTGTTAAATTAAGCTGTTATTTTTGTTCGTTTTTTGTAAAAAGTATTCTCATCGCTTTGTAACATTAAGGTTATGCCACTGTAGTCACACTGACTATTTTAACAAATTTATTTACTATCTTTCTGGGCCTTGAAAGTTGCAATGATGTTTCTGCCTATGAATCTCATGAATAAAATCTCAAATTAGCTACACATTTAAAATCAGTCACCTTTGAAACCAAGTCAGGTATCCAAACACAGATACAGGTCACAGCGACATGCATCTACCGAGTCACTAAACCTATAACTAAAAGGCCTGTGATAGAATATAATGAAATGCATTAAATGTTAAATAACAGAAATTAAACAAAGACAATCACAGGCCATTTTTGTGTCTCCACATTTAAAATGTGGCATTTTAGTGCTAAGTTAAGGTTCATATCTATCTTGCTGCCTACTGAACTGAGACTGCCAGCTTGCCCAATGAAGGTATTTCACCTTGTATGATTTGTGATTTGCAGTGAGTGAATCTGACGGCTGAGGTCTCTGTTGCCTGCACAGGCTCAGGTCAATGGTTCAAATACTGTACTACCACCTGTGGTTACACATATTTTCCTAAACTATTCACAATTAGAAGTATTCAATTTTTACCATTATTTTACCACTTGCTTTGGTGAAATTACACAGTACAACTGGAGTAAACATGTGATTCGGATTCAGCAGTTAAAACACTGAACAAACTTAATGTGAGACATCTCATATTAGGTTTCCTCTGCCTCTCCAATGTTTTATCTATTTTTTATCAGTTTCAGATTTAAAGGAGAAGGAGGCGAAGTCTCAATGGAAGGAGTTTATCGAGGATATCAGTGTTTTACAACTGGTGCTTTCATTTCTGTTTTTAGGTGAGACCTGTTGCACGCACACGGGCACACACACACAGAAAAAAACAACTAAGGAAACAAGTTACTTTGGGGTGCTATATGGAAATTTCCATGATGCTTCTCATGTGTGTTTATGCAGGAGTGGCCTGTGTACTGCTGATGATCTACTTGATGTTCACCTCTCTGTGGCTCATCCCCGTTCTCTACATCTCCTGGCAGATCTATGATTGGCAAACACCTGAGCGAGGTCGACCTATGACTACAACACTATGTCTGTTTCAGTTTGTCATCTGAAAGCACTGATGTGCTCCATAAACAGAATAAGGCAGTCGTGTGTTTATTAGTCATGTTTAATCAAAGCGTTTCAATCTATTTATTCAGCTACAGCAATAGTGATTTCCTGGAATGATGCGTGTTATACTTCTGCAGCGGGGCATATTTGGCGTAGGATTTTCTACCGGACCAGCCACACTGTGCTGACAAGCTGCGCATAAAATAAATCGCGTGCGGTTTTGTTGCGATTAATCGTGCAGCCCTAAAAACCTGAATAACTTTCTTCTGAGGAACACAGAAGATGATATTCTGGGGAATGTCTTAGTCAATGGTCACCAAACCTGTTTGGTTACCAAAGATCTTTTGTTCCGCAGAAGAAAGTCAGACAGATTTGGAACAACTTGAGGGTTAGCATATGATCACAGACTTTTCTAGGGCAAAAACTAATGATTATTAATCGACAAGTTGGACGATTATTTCTTTGATTAATCGGACTTGAAGACAAGTTTCCTTTTTTTATTTATTTATTTACAAAACATACTATTATGCATCCTGCCCAATGCTACCCTTCAAACAAACCTGCCAACTGAATGCTATGAAAACATATATAGTGAATATATCTATATATGCTATTTGCAAAAGAGCTATGTGCGAAAAGGGTTGTTTAAATGTAAAAAAAAGTCTGAAAATATTCAATAACTACATGATGTTATACCATTACAGTTACCAATCTAATAAAGTACTTGAATTACATGTTGACTTTAAAACTAAATTTAGTGTTCAAAAACAGATATTTAAGCAAAATAAAAGATTTTGCACTGAATATTAATTGTCTCGCTCTCCAATGTGATTTTTGACACACATGAAGTTTAACGCAGACTGTCAGGACAAATCTTAATGCAAAATGGAAACATTTTGCGTGAACTTACAGATAAGGATATAACCGTAAAATAAAAGTTCTGCGCTGAGGAAAGATGAAATGCATGACTTGGCAGTTAACATTTATTATTCTTTGGATTCCTGAAAACACTTCCAAACTTTTACGTTTATTTTCATTACTTCATTGCTCATTACTTATCTAATTTTAAAATTAATGAAGGAAAAGAATGCCTTGATCTTATCATGTACTTTGATGGAGTATCATAAACTTGCTGAGAACCCCTAGTGTTTTATTTCTTTATTATTATTATCTTTACTTTTTATTTACTTTCAATTTCTAATCAATAATCGTATTATCAATTAGTTTCAGACCTAGGATTTTCCATCTAAACTCACAGGTTGACCTAAGATCAATTCAATATGAAATATATTAAAATAGCTTTCATTGTCTGATAGAATTGAAAAAAAAAAATGCTAATGATTTATATGTCCACTAGGTGGCAGAAGAACAAAGTTTGTGAGAAACTGGGAAGTATGGAAACACTTCCGAGACTATTTTCCTGTGAAGGTAAATAGCACAATCATTATACCCAGTTACTGAAAAAAAAACCTTGAATCTTCTTTGTCTCCTACCCTTGTTGTTCTCTCTTTATCTCCCTCTTTGACTCGCTATTCCTTCAGCTGGTAAAGACTGCTGAACTGAATCCCAGTAAGAACTATATTTTGGGTTGTCACCCTCATGGCATCATGTGTGTGGGAGCATTCTCATGCTTCGGCACAGACCATAATGGATTTGCGGAAACCTTTCCTGGAATACGCTCCACAATTGCAATCTTGGCTGGACTTTTCCGCCTTCCTCTCTTCAGAGAATATGTTTTGTGTGCAGGTCAGTAAAAAAAAACAAAACAAAAAAACGGCTACAGCAACACTGAGCGAGAAAGACAAGAAAACAAAGTGTTTCTCTAACTGTTTCTCATTTTCAGGTCTGTTGCCTGTTAGTAAGGAGAGTTTGGATTACTTGCTGAGCCGTACTGGTGTGGGTAACGCTGTGGTCATCATCATTGGTGGGGC